CTCTATTAGTATGAAACTTTATTTTATATTATTATCGATTTTTATGTCAAACTGTTTTATATGGACCTGAATATTAGTATTTTGTTGAGAAATGAGGTCTAAATAATTTTTTTTGAAATATAATGATTACTGATTACATTAAAAGTAGGGGAAATGTGCCTATGATGGACATCTTAGGAACCTCCTAGGAAAGGAAAAAGCTCCATAATAATTTTAATTATTTACTTAGCAGGCTTTAAATGTGACCGCATAACGTCTTGTTATTTGTATGATATGCAAATGTTTCACATTTTGATAAAAATTAAGATGACAAAAGTTATTCATAGTTTACTTAAATCTTGTTAAGGGTCCATCATGGGCATATATGCGCTCATGGCGATGTGCGTGGGGACAGGGGTCCAATATAAGGACACTTCTCCTATTAAGTCAAGCATTGCGATAAGCAAATGTCATAAACTTCAAATGGAATTTTTAGAAGAAAAAATTATATAAATTTTACAAAAAGTATATTTGAAAGCTAAAATTATTAGACAAACTTGGAAAATAAAACATAGTCAAAAACCGACTGCTCCTGTCACAAGAAGAAAGAAACAAAAAGAATTTATAAAAGCTTGAAAGCTTACAAGGTACCCACTCTGTCTTTTGAAAATACCCGTATCTGGTTTCTAAAAGTCACAAAATTAACAAAAATATGTTTAAAAAATAAAAAACTTCTTCTTTTTTGACAATTGGCTGTTGCGAAAACGCAACAATGGGCAGTTAGGATGTAAAAAATAATTAATAATACTTTGTTTGGAAAATTTTATTAAATCATATAAAAGAGTATTAAATAAACTGACATGAATATAATATAAAAAAATTATTGCGTATTGCTATGAAATTGAATAAAACATTTTACATGTAATGCAACCTTACATTTAATACATTTTTAATTGGTTGTTGAGTGACAAAGGACGCATCGGGTTTGTTTATCTTGCGTAGAAATAAGATGGCCGATGTTATCGAATCGAACATCTTGTGTAATGTTGTTTATGAAAGATTAAGATGGACCAGATCTTCTTGGCAGAGTTCCTAATATCGTCAACCGTATTGCTATGAAATTGAATAAAACATTTTACATGTAATGCAACCTTACATTTAATACATTTTTAATTGGTTGTTGAGTGACAAAGGACGCATCGGGTTTGTTTATCTTGCGTAGAAATAAGATGGCCGATGTTATCGAATCGAACATCTTGTGTAATGTTGTTTATGAAAGATTAAGATGGACCAGATCTTCTTGGCAGAGTTCCTAATATCGTCAACAAGGCTTTGGCTATATTTCGAAAAAACTGCAGCAAATCCATTTCGGGTTGTTCAGAGATAATGTGTCTTATTCTACGGTAAATTAACCAAGCATTTTATATGGAGGTATCAAGACCCCAGATAAGTAAAGGCCAATATCATTTCTTGAATCTTTATTCGTTCTGTAATAGGCAACATTTTGCTCCATGCGATCAGTTTCTCCCATATTTTTGTTATAAGCCCGAATAAGATGTGGTTGTGTTACCTTAATTTTTTTGCTTTGGGCAAAGGAGTATCTGTTCGCTTTGTAAACTGGCGTCATTTTATGGTAATTCGATACCAAGTAACTATGCTGTTATCATTTCACCTACATAAAGCACCTTATTTTTCTCGTCGTACCAACTTTCGTAAATTCTACGTATGGATTTTTTGAACAATTCACTGAACGGAAAGTGTTCTTTTATATTTAATCGTATGGTTCCTACGTAACCTATTCCCTTTGATGTGAAAAAATCAATTTGTTTCATAGAGGTGAAATAATTATCAGCATATAAGTAATGATGCATAACCCTATCACAGTGTATTTTAGGAATAAGTTGAGCAAACTGCAATATTATTCCACTTCCAAGGCCAAATTCTTTTTTGTATTCATTGGGTTTTCCCTCGGCTCCTTGACAAATATTAAAATCTATGAGATAAACAGATTTCTGATTCCAACACCACTATTTATATTTTTATATAAAGGCTTTTAACTCATCGACTCCAAATTCTAAAGTAGTACCTTTTTGAAGAGCATAACGAACTGTCTCCTTTACAATATTTGTTAAAAAAGCTCTTCATTGAAAAAAAAAATCAAAGATCTGTAAAGGAGTGAGTGATCGTAAATAAAATGAAGTGTATGTGTTCCATTGAGTATTTTTACTTACAATATCCAAATAAAGGAAATTTTTATCTGGTAAATCTCCCTGAATCTCAAATCTCAAAAGATGCCATTTGAATATCTTGATTTTCTTTATTTTGTGTCTCTATTTTTGTTTCCATCTCAATCTCTTCCGTATCTTTTTCTTCCTGAATTTGTTTCACACTTTAAAGATGGGCCTTTTTTTCATATAGATTTATATTTTCTTCGTCGATCCTTCTTTCTTCTTTTTGATGAATTACAGCTTCTGATTCCGCATCCAACGTATTTTTGTTTAGGTTACTGAATGTTTCTCCAGTCTTCATCTCCACTATCTTAATCAGTCAATTGAGTAGGGCCAAGAGGTGCTAGGAAAACATCTGCACTGGAAGCCGACTCCATAGGATTCGACTCTTCTAGCACGGACACAATTTTATGTGCTCTTGATTCGTAAAAAAAAAAATTAGGGCGACTATTATTACTATTACGACCGAAACTGGTAGAGCCAAGTTGATTTGACATCTTATTTCCACCTTCTAGAACAAAAATGATTTTTTGTACTAATAATATGCCTTGTGCCCAGTGTTGCGAAAACACAACACCAATATTTGGGCAGTTGTACCCACTAGTACAGATATAATAATAGCACTTACTTTATAGATATATCCTCTTCTATATTTAACAATACGTTGCTATCAACAACCAAATATTTATCCAGTTAATTTATACACAAACGACTTACTACTAACTAAAATCACGTGTTTACACAAATCAAAATTAACCTACCACTTTAAATACGCCATCTGTTGACTGCCCCAATAGGTCATGTCATTTTCCAAAAGATGACGCCATAGTGGGCTATGTCAACTGTTGCGAAAACGCAACGCTGGGCATGAATGGGTTAAGAACAAGCATATGTATCAAAACAGGGTTAAGGGATATGAGATTTTTAATAGAAGATAAAAACGCATAAATTATCTGTTAATTCTGACATTTCGAGATAACTATATTACGCTAAGGCATGTCTATATAGATCAAAGCAAAATTTAGGATTAAGATCAGTGGAAAAACTACTCACCAAAGTATGTAAAGCAAAAAAACGATATATAGTAAGAGGTTGTCAACTGAAATTATTGAGAATTTAGAAAGGGAGTTTTACTAACCACGAATAAACATGATTTTTTTTTATTTACAAAAAGATTCGTATATTTATTCATAAAATACCCCTATTTTCGAAAGTATTTTTAATCGAGCCCTAAAGATCACTCAAAAATCTAAATAAATTCAGAAAGAGAATTCTATTGGCTACCAATCGCCATGTTTTTCTTAAATTTTCAAACGAGTAAATTCTTCACACTGTTTAAAGAATTATTGGAGTATTTATAGAGTAAAAAAGGTATAACGAAGTATAAGCAAAGGTGAGAAACTCCTCTCACTGGCTGATATTAATTTGTTAAGCGTTAGTTTAACTAAATGATATATACAGATATTTTACACAAAAGGTGAACCTTGAAATAAAGGGATCATTTCAGAACCAACGATTAAAGCGACCGGCGATGTTGAAAATCAATTTTAAATAAAATTTGTATTAACTCGACTCCATTTGTATTAAAGCTCTACTCTTCACCTTTAAAACGAAATTTAACTTTTGTAGATGTGACTGTCTGTAGATATGACAAGAGATATCGAATTTTTATCGTCGAATTATTACAAATTTTATTTAAAATTGATTTCACGCGCGTAAGTGACATTCAAAACCGCAGGTCGTTTGATGCATTGTTTTTGAGAATAAGTGCTAATATATAGACCCTCTCCCCTGTATACTGTTTAATCTGGCTCTGGAAAAAGTAATACGTATGTCACAAATCACAACCATTGGTTTAATATATAATAAATTAGTGCAAATCCAAGCATATGCTGATGTAATTAATATTGTTGGGAAAATGGAAAACGCTGTATGAGAATCATATGTAGCATATTTTACAGTAGATATAAATTTTTATTTAATAAACCTTTTATTTATTATTAACAGCAAACGGCAGTTAAACTAATTTGGATCTATGATAGCTGCCCATATTATAATACTTGCACATGCAGAAATATAAATATATCAAGTTTAAAATTAGCTAGGTTAGTGGGGTAGTGAGGTTAGATCTTTTTTGCTAACAGCACTATAACACAAAAATTTATTTTTTATAGCGTCTGTAAAAAATGATTTATAAATGTAACATTTTTACTTCGTAATAATATATTAAAAGTGGATGTTTTATAAGTGAGTGCCTTATACTCTTATTTTATTTTAGACGATGGATATTTCAAGAGGAAAGCTATTAGCGAACCTGGTGATTCCAAAACTTCAACAATCTTTGACCACTGATCCTCGAGAACAAGAAACAAGTAGTTCCTGTAGCACTCAGAAAAATATATCTGCTGAAATGGATTTTTATGAGCCATACCAGTCCTCTGGCAGTGAATATTTTCCTGAATCCGAGGAAACTGATTCTGCAGAAGAAACGAGACACCAAGAGGATATGGAAATCTATTTAAATATAACAAAAATTGATGGCAGAAAGAAACGCGGACGATCAAGAAAAACACTAAATCAATCAAGACCAGACAGACAAAAATTTGCAAATTGTAACCAAAAGTATGTTTCGGCAAGAAACAAAACTGTATTACCTAAAAGTTTACTGAAGATTACTCTCGTCCATGTTCAAGAAAATGTCACAATATTTAAATGCTGAAGCGAGAAGAAGATTTTTTGACCAATTTTGGAGTATCGGGACATTTGAAGGGCGCTGCGTTTTACTTAGCAAATATGTTGAAGAGGGCAACAAGAACAGATGTTACACAAAAAACCAAACATCAAGAAGTAAGTCAAGAAAATAATTTATAGATGGCAATCTCGTTTGCAAAGAAACCTTTTTAAATACACTTCAGGTCAACCATAATAGAGTCCGCGTAGCCTTAGATCAAATAAAAAGTAATATTATTAAAGATAAAAGGGGTATACATAGTGGTGGAAAAAATGCAATTGATGAAGAAAGAATTGAAAATATTAAGATGCACATAGCGTTATTTCCAACATATGTGTCACATTATTGTCGCAACCAGACGGCCTCCAAATTTTTAAATTCTGACCTAAATTTATCAAAAATGTATCAATTCTACACAGATACTACAGAAAACCCAGTGAGTCTTACGAAGTATAAAAGCATCTTTTATTCAAATTTTAATTTAAAGGTTAAGACACCACATAAGGATACATATCGAATGTGTGATACGTACAAAGCCCAAATTAGTTCTGCACAGACTACACACAAGGAGAATCTAGAAAGAAATCACAGGGAACATCTTGAAATTGCAAATGAGTTAAGGAATGAAATAAAGGCTGATCTAATATGCGCGCAAGAGGATAAAACACTGGAGACCCTGACTTTTGACCTCCAAAAAACTCATCCTTTACCAAAAATACCGACTGGAGTCGCATATTATAAAAGACAATTAAATTTACTTATTTTAGGTACCTATTTATGTCGGCCGTACAAAAAGAGGTATTTTCAATGTATGGATAGAACAAGAGGGAGGCAGGGAACATAAGAAGTCGGTTCGTGTCTGCGTAAATATATTAATGAAAATATAAAGACACCATAGTATCAAAATCATACGTCCCTTGAATCCATTTCGTTAAAATTTTTACTTTCTGGGCACAGTTTCCTGCCTAATGATTCACATTTCGAATCTGTCGAATGCGCTCTTAAAACTCATCAAAGAATATACACTGACAACGATTACATAGAAATAATCTTGCCGAGTAAAAAATAAATTTGTTGTTAAACGTCTGAGATAAGAGGAAATGGTTTCAGTTTGTCTTTTGCTACAATCCATAAAAAATCGCAAAACAGATATAAATAAGGATGTTATTAATTGGCTAAAAACACATGTAATACATATTACAAAGGAAAGTCCCACAGTTTTGTACATAACAAAACATGTGGGAGATCAACAATTTTCGGATGTAAATATTGAAAAATCAGGTAAAGGTCGAAAACCTGTTTTAAAGAATGTAGAGTTGCCTCCCTTATGGCCAAATGGCAAACCACTGTCCGCTGAAAAAATAAAGGGTCTTAAAGATTTGTCCAAGTAATTTCCCCAAGATGCCATGCCTTTTTATGGATTTTTGAACAACATCAGCTATGAAGATTTTGAAAAAGATTGGAAAAGAATTGGGTTAAATCCCGATTTCGAGATTGATCAAGATCAAATCGAGTAGGAATTTGATCAGTAACAGTTACTTACTATTAGTAATGAACTCGGATTCGAAGTTTTTTCTGTGTATTTACCATTTCGGAGGGATAGACGGTTATTGCAAAATGACAAACTTATATTTTTACCATTTTGCAAAAACCGTCTAAGCCGCTTTAAGTTATTTTTGCAATAAACTGTTTTTACTTATTTTGCCTTTGTACATTTTTTAAGGTAGCCTGTAATTATTGAAATATAAAAATGTGAAAATATTGCCTTATTTTCTATCAGTGAATTTTTTAAAATAGGTAGATACATTATGCTCATTTACTCTAAACCATATATATGTGGCTTAAACTATTATTGCAGAACACCCTCCATGTAGCATTAACCAGCTACAAAAATGGGTTAAATAATAAACACCAACACAACGAAGTATATGAAAATACGCACGTAACTACAAATATCATCGAAGCAGTGAACGAATTTGTATACCTGAGAGCGCTTCTTAACGCTGAAAACAATACTACCACAGAGATAAACCGCAGAATTTTCAGGTCCAACAAATGCTACATTGGCCTCAAAATTATCCTTAAATTCACAATTATATCGATAAATACAAAAATAAAACCCTACAAACTAATAATACGCCTAGTCCTAACATATGGTTCAGAGACCTGGATTCTAACAAAAAGTAATGAAAACATGTTAGGATGTTTCGAAAGAAAAGTACTGTGTATTGTACAAAAGTGTATTGTCATTCACTGTTGCATACAAAAGTATGCAACAGTAAATGACAATGAAGTGTGGAGAAGATGATCTTACTACGAACTTTATGGAATATACCAGGAATCGGATATAGTAAAACATTTTAAGATAGGACGTCTGATGTGGATTGGGCATGTAATGCGGGTGGAACAAAATGACCCAGCTAGAAAATCACTTCTTAATACCCTAGAGGCCTAGAAGACCCAGAATAAGGTTCCTTGATAACATCGATAAAGACATGAAAAATATGGGAATACATGCTTGGAAGAGAAAGGCGATGGATAGGTTCGACTGGAGAGAAATACTAGAGAAGGCTAGGACCCACGCAAGGTTGTACAGCCAGAATGATGATGATTTAAATATGCCCGTTGTTTATTTTATTGCAATTTCTATTTCTGTATTCCACTTTTTTTTCTTTTCTTTTTTTCCTATTTGCTGTTTTTTTTATGCATTGTTTTATGTTGGATCATTTTTAATTTATATTCTTTTAAGTTATATGTTTTGAAGATGCTGTTGCAGTCTTTGTCGATATATTAATGTCTTATGATATCGTCTTGCAAGAAATATACTTAGAATATACAGGGTGTTTCAAAAAGGTATGTCATAAATTAAATCACGAATTTCGGGGACAAAAATAAATTGATTGAATCCAACTTACTTTAGTACAAAAGTGTATACAAAAAAAGTTACAGACCTTTGAATTTACAAAATAAAAATTGTTTTTTGCATTATCTTTTAAACTACTTGATATTTTGTAATAAAAAACGACACGTTACTTTTTTGTTCTGAAAGCATTTTTCATAAAAGAGAAAACAACAAAATCTAAGCGCACAGAAAAATTTTAAGTGGGGTGCAGCCCTAAATCCCCCAAACTTTTCAGTACGTTCATATCAAATGAATTTTGTGGCATTATTAGTTTAGCACATTATTTTTAAAATTTTTTTACCTGTTATCATTTTTTTCAAAAAACAGTTTTTATTTAGTTACGGCTCTTTTCCTTAACCTTTAAAAAATTAATTGCAACTAAGTAAATGGCTTAAATGTATTAACAAGTACAAAAAAGGTCTATAGCCTCTCTAAATATAAAATTACAATTAATGTTCAAAATGATCCCCATTTTCTTCGTCAGAAAAATCATATTTTTCTGACGAAATTGATTTTTAGCTTCAATTATTCTAGCCCTCAATTGTTGTTCGTCCTCTATTGTTACAGAATATACTTTCTCTTTCATAAATCCCCAAAAGCAAAATTCTATGGAGTTAAGACCTGGACTTCTGGGTGAAATAGGTGCGTCACGACCCCTTTCAATCTACCACCCACTATAATGCCTGCCAAGGTAATCCCGGACTTCATTACTGTAATTCGGTGGAGCGCCATCTTGTAGAAACCACATATTTTGTCCTTTTGCAATATTCACTTCTTCCAAATACTCTTGTAAATCGTTTACTCTTGTAATCAACCAATCGCAAAATCCAATCCTTTTAGGATAATCTTCAACAAATAACTATTGAACCGTTGTTAAGTGATAGGGTTTAAGTGGCTGATCCTTTAAACGCTTCCTTACGTGAGAAACATTTGGTTGAGCAGCTATTTCCTTTGTACTTATTCCAGGGACTTCAATGATTTCTAAAATGTCTTTATCAGTTGCATCCATTATTGGATGACCACTATTGCCAGCAACGTCGTTTCTTGTAAACGACGATCAATGGCCAGAAATAATCGTCTATCGGGTGTATTTCGATTGGGGTATTTTACTGCATAATGCCTTACGGCTGCTGCACTATTTTCTTGACATTCACCTAAGATATTCCCGATAGTTTATTGAAATCATAATTTAATCTGATCCAACTTACCCAAAGTTAAATGCATATCTACCATTTCCTAAAATGTGTAGGCCATTGTAATATCAAAATTTTTAATATTAATCTAAATCACACAATTAATGATTGTTCAAATTATTGACTATTATTGATGGAACTGTTTGTAATTATTGTATCTGTAGAAACTAATTGTAATTTTATGTCCAACTAGGAAAAAACTAGTTTTTGGAAAAAGTGATAAAAGGCAAAATTTTTAAAAAAATAGTGTTTTAAACTAATGATGCCACAAACTTCATTTGATTTGAACGTACTCAAAAGTTTGGGGGGGGGGGGATTTAGGGCTGCACACCCTTCTTAAAATTTTTCTGTGGGCTTATTGTTTAACGTGTTTATTTTTATAACAAAATGTTTAGTAGTTTAATAGATATGCAAAAAACAATTTTTATTATGTAACTTCAAATGGCTGTAACTTTTTTTGTATACACTTTTGTACTAAGGTAAGTTAGATTCAATCAATTTATTTTTGTCCCCAGAATGCGTGATTTAATTTATGACATACCTTTTTGAAACACCCTGTATATTGTGTCACTTAGTGCGTCATTTTTTGTTTTTTTTTTTTTCTAGCTAGATATTACGTTTTTTGAGATAACTCAGAAGTGGCATAACGTCTGGCACTAGTGCAGGTTTTTTATTTACAATAACATAGTCTAGTTATTATAGATATAAGGCTTCTTGCAAACATTGTATATTTATATACTTAATGTACAAGAGGCCCTAGATCTTGTCTCAATTCTTGCCCGTTGTTGGTTATTGTATTTTCTCCGAATGTGCCAACTATGCACGGTATTACTATTTTTACTATTCTAGCGTGAAATCTCTATTTGCTGCAAGGAAAAACAACCTATTATAATTGTATACCTTGTAATTAATTGTAAATTGCGTTGTTCTTGTGATAATAACCCCCATTAGTTTAATAACTCTTATTAATGATTTAAAAAATATATCAATGTGCTATACAGTTATCTTTTGGTAAAAACGTATTTGTTAAAAACAAAACTTCCTTTTTCTTCTCCACCAGTAGAGCACGTAGTTATGAAAGAAGGACTCGATTCCAAAAAGTGTGTTTTTCAGGAGACATTTTCGCAAATTGTTAGTTAGCTACAAGTTACAACCTTATTGAAAGTTACACCTTGGAAAAATATAGTATTTTTATTGTTGATACTTAAACTAATATAATATAGAATAACATTTTTGGTATTCCCAAAAAATGGTGATTGGTTCCTTATTGCGTATTACACATATTAATTAATTACATTTCACAATAGGGAAATAGAAAAACAAACTTCTTTAGATTAAATTTGTATTGTAATTGTTTGAAACTAATAATAGGAAAAACTAAGTAAAAAATAAAGGCAAATTTAACAATATTTTATAGCTTAAAAATAAAAAATAAACTGAACTAAAATATGTAATTATAGTTATTTATTTTACAAGACGATAAAATTGTACTTTATCTTCGAGAGCATTTTTTAGCATCGAGACGTCAGTCGAGACACTAATTATGCTCTAGAAGATATGCGATTTTATCGTCGTGTGCAATACAACATTTTTTTCTATAGCAAGACTTTAAGTTCAGGAGAAAAACAGAATTTCAAAGAAAATTGTAATTTTTAGCACAAAAATCGCAATTGTGTTGCTCCGTTGCTAGGGATATGAATTACTCTGTCAACAAATGTCAAACAAATGTTACAAAAAATCAATCCAGTA